GTGTGTGTGTGTGTGTATAAAAGTGTGTGTGTGTGTTCCTATTTTATACCATATGTGTGTGTTCCTATTTTGTACTGTATATACCTACATTAAGAAAAAAATCAGTGCTAGTGACTCAAATAGAAATGTCAGTCTTCCCTCGGTAGGTCTCAACCCTGCTCAAATCTTCCCACTCTTGCCTTTCCACCTATTCATTCAGCTGCACCTCTTCAAGAGCAGACCTGCATTTCCTACTGCCAGATGAACTTTGTGGCCCATTCCTTAGTTCGTATAGTTGTTAGAAAGTTCTCGTTCTATTAGAAACAGTCCTGAAGCAGAGCCAGCAGTTTTAAGCAAATTCTAAGTACCCAGGAGTCCAGGAGCCCACTCTGACAACCAGGACCCTTATTATGGTTCCTCTTCTGAGAAATAGGGGTGATGGTTGCAAGTCTAAGATGAACATAAAATTCTATTTATCCTGTTGTTAACTCTTACTTTATTTGAATTAATCTTTGCAACTAGATTTGTTTGTTTGTTTGTTTCTTGAGATTGAGACTACACACAGACACCCTAAATGTCTCTATACTCCTGACATTGCAGTTTAGGGGTGAGCACATTGTGTGTCCACCACCAGCAGGGTGGAAGACTGGGTGCTGGCAGGACAAACGTCTCTTCGTAGAGTGAGTCCTTTGCCTGCAAACACTGTCACTGGAATAAGCTTCTCAAAGGTGTTCGGAACTTCTAGGGAGTCAGAGACCTCTTACAGTAGCCACAAAGGAATATTCAGTTAGGATGGAGGAGTGATGATGGGTCATGAACTGAAAAATGCTGCCTTGACTGACATTTTTCTAAATCCAGATTTGAGAGAGAAAAAAATCTCCAGACAAAAGCCATGCATCCAACCATAAGCAACAAGGCATTGGTAGCCACAGACAGAAATGGCCACTAAGCCCGCTCTTTGGAGCATTCATCACCCTAAGCATGCAGGAAGAGGCTTTCACGTGGATGGAAGCTCAAGTCTTGGGTAGAGTTTCACGAGTGTGCTACATTTGTGTACCTTGGAGGAGGACAGTGTTTACAGTTGCTCTCCAGCCGCACACTGTAGATGTCTTTCTTTCCTGGATGGTGTCATTTAAAGATACTGCCACCTTGGCTTTATTGCATCAGCCATAACCAGCCCCTCTTGTAGTTCTGATCTCTGGTGACCCCTTGTTCGAAACATCAAAGCTCTCCACTTCTAAGCCATAACCATACTGTACCCTGTAAACTCCTGTGTGTCTCCAGGTCATGTATGGAGTTAATGGAGTTCTCTCTTCCAGCCAGTCTTTCTCATAAGGTTCCCAGTGTGCCAAAGAGCTCAAGATTCTGAGGATAAGTGACTGTACAGTTGTGGATAAGGAAGCTGAACAAAGAAATTGGTATGGGAAACAGAGGAAGTAGAGGAAAGGAGATAGATCTCTATCTATCTATCTCATCTATGTACAGATATAGTGAGCATGGCACCTATGGACTCAGATTCCATAACCTTTACAGATGACCACACACACACACAGAGAGAGAATGAAATTCCACTGGAACACCCTCTGTGGAACAGAGGGCTTTGTGATGCGTTCTGGTGTCCTAACTCTCTCCTCTGTGAGGCAGCCATGACAGTGCCCAGTGAGCCACTGGGCACTTAGGCCCCTGAATGCCTAGATGCAGAGATGACTGGTCCCCTCGTGCTAAGGAGATTTAGGTCATGTTGAGCTCTGCATGTTCTCTGTGGGACATCGGCTATCCTTTATGTACCTATAGCTCCATCTTTATAATTTTTCTAATTGCCTGGCAAATAAGACGGAGTTACCAGGGATTGAGTTTGGAACCTAAAAAGAGCTGCTGCCGGGTAGGAAAACACTGATTAAACTTGAACTACTTTAAGCCTAGATAAGTAACTTTTAAATTCTGAGCGCTTCTCTAGATTGCCCCCATTTTGTGCCAGGGACTAAGAAAGGAAAGGAAGTGATTACAAAGACCTATAAATAACTCCTTACATTCCAGGCCCTCCCTGCAATGTACTCCGATTGAAAAGCCAACAGGCTCCCTGTTTGTCTTGAGTTGAGAGTTAGATAATAGAAAAACGACCACACTGGATCTCGGAAGACCTCCCGAGTGGGGAGTTTCTCCATTTGGAGGACTTAGTGAGCAGCCAACCCTCGGGCTGGCAGAAATATCTTTGAGTCTGTTCACCCTCTCTACAGAAGGAGAGACATGGGGAAGGAGGACAGAGAGCCTTAAGTGAAGGAGAAATAAGCAGAGAAGGGAAAGGTTCAGGTGGAAAGAAAGGGCGGGGTCTAGGCAAGGCAATGTAAGGGGGCATACAACGTAGAGGGACACGTACGTGATCTCTCAGTTTGGACATGAAGAAGCGAATGGAGTCCCAGCTTCACACTGTAATGTTTTTCTCTTGAAGCGTCACCGAAAAGTCAGGCAGAGGGCTAGAGATGTGGCATCAAGAGGTAAAGGCCCAGCGTCTCCCGACTCCTCGCCCCTGGCAGAGCTCCCGCCGCCTCTACCCAACTTCAAGTTCCACTGCCAAGAGCCAGGTGTTGTAACTTCTGAAACTCGAGTTCCACAACTTGTGATTTACCCAGAAGATGGCTGTGGGTGGGAGCTGAGAACATGGGAGTGTTCCAAAAAGGTTCTGCCTAATTTCCTTGAGCATAAACAATTAAGGAAGTGATACAGATCACTGTGCAGCGGAGATAACTTAGGGTTTTCTGCTCCCCCTTCTCGTCATGATGACGACCCACCTAGCAGAACTTAGGAGGAACGGCTTATTCTGCTCACAGCTTCGGAGATGGTCAGTCCATCAGAGCAGGGAAGGCGTAGTGCCTGGGTGGCTTGTCTCATGGCAGCATGAGCTTGCAGCATGACTTGTTCACATCAGGGTACATCTGAAGCCAGGTTCAGGCAGAACGGAAGGTGGGCCCTAATTCTCGAAGGTCCACTCCCATGGCCCTGCCGCTTGCTACACATGTAGGCCCTCTCTCGGCCTGGCTATGCTCGGTACCGACAGCACTCCTTGTCCAACTTTGCATGTCTACCAGTCTAGGGCCTCCATTATAACTTGGACTTCCCTTGCACAATTTCGCGAACAGGCCCTCTAGTCACCAAACCTTTCCTGCCCCAGTGGAACTCAGTGCCACAGTAAACTCTTCCTTAAGTTACTAATATCAGGTGTTCTGTCACAGGAAAGAGAACATCTGATCGAGAACTAGTTTTATGACCCTGCAAAATTCAACTTACTCAGTCATCCACAAAATAGGCATGATACTGATGATATCCTCACGTGGTTGTAAACATCAAATGAAATTAGGCAAGGACAGTCAATTTTAAGTAGTAATGCTAGATAGAAACACATGCCTTAGAGCACCAAGTCTAGATCTTCAGATTCCTCTTGCTGAGCTAAAGGCCTTCCTATAGAATGCTCCTAAAAATGCTCATTCGCCACATAACACTGTGTCCTGATTCCTCAGCCAGGAGGACTTTCCCAAGAAGAAGCTGAGAAGCCGTGGGAGCTGCTTACTATCATGAAAAGGTGACCTCTTGACCTTTGCGGTCTAAACTGTGATGATTTCTTGGCCTGGTTCTGTTGCCAGGGGTGAGGGAAGGGCTAACGGACGGGAGGGGAAATGCCGTGGAGGCAAGTTCACCAGCTGAGAGGGTTTGTCAGGGCAGGGACGGTTCACACCTCAGGAGGGAAGAACCACCCGATACCCAGTTCTGTCTGTTAGGATCTCTGCAGTTCAGAACTGACTAGTGCGTACTCTGTAAAGGACATTGCTGGAGTTGCACCTAGACACCACATTGACAAGAAAGTGGCTTTAGCATGAAGAAGTCACCATGTCATACCTGTTCCAGCTCCTCCCTTTCAAGGGCCAAGCAAGCCCTGGGTCTGGCTGGACCCCGTTGACATCACCTCCTGTCTGTCTGGGGGTGTGGGGCAGTTGCTGGGACACCTTCAGCCTATCATCTTATCCTCTACTTAATTTCTAGAGAGTGTGAATGATCTCATTGATTCCCTGGGTACAGCAGCAGGAACATCCCATACTTTGAATGGTTCCCACAAGGACCTCATTTGTCACAGTGTAGGCTTGGAACTGTGGGGACCGGAGGATAGAGCACAGGCAGTCCCCCAGACATGTTCCTCCAAGGGGGCAGACATCATTCCATCATTAACGGCGGCCATTTTTCTCTTCCTAGCCAAAGCTGGCTCCCCAAGGAGGAGCATGTGCGGCAGCTCCTGTGTGTCGATCCCTGCTGCCACATCTGTGATGCTGCATCTCTAGAGATCCAGCAGCTGCTGCAGAGTGAGAGAACCCAGACCTCCCCTGCTTTGTCGGGACTGCCCCCGGGCTCTTCTTGCCTGGAGATGTTGCCCATATCCAGAGTATCTTTTGAGCAGAACGTGGAGCTTCGTCCCAGGGCACTCCAGACGTCTTCCACTAGCATCTGGGACTCCAATACTAGCACACCTGACAGAACACTTAACACAGTCGACCAGTGCAGTCGGTGTCCGACAATGCTGGCCTGATCACCTCCAGCTAGACCAGAAATTTCCTCTGGCAGACATGCCCATGATTTCAGAGACTATGACTTCTTCAAGGCTCAAGGAGCCTGTGGTTTTAATGATTGAGGAAAAACTAACACAAAACAAATCAAAGTTTGACCAGGAGAGCCAAGACCGCCATCACTTGAAGTCCTCTGTGTCTTTACTACCCCTGAACCCAAAGACCACTAACTTGACACATTCCATGTCCTTGCATATGAACTCAGTACTGCCTTCCCAGGTGCCATTACTCAGCCCTAAAGTCCAAAGGATTCTTGAACTACATGTAAAAAAATGGATACATTTCCAGAAGTGGGGCCTCCCAAGACGTGTGGAGGAGTCCCTGAGGCAGCTTATGCCAGACCGGACATTATTTTGTCAATCTAGAAAAAATATGCTCTCTTCCATTCTGAGCAGTGGTTCTGAGATCACTATGGACAGAACTGGGACCATTTCCTGCCAGACCAATAGATTGTATTTGACAGACCAGCCCACCCAGACCTGCTGGGTTTCTGAATGGTCTTTTATAAACCTGAAACAAAGAAAGCCCTGGCACCAAATCTGCACCTACTTGTCCTCTCATGAACTTGAACACGTAAGTGGCTTCTATCCATCCCGCAAGGCACAAGCTAATGACGCGGAGAGCAATCTTCAGAGTGACTATCATGGCCAATTATTCTGTGGCCTTCCATCTCTTCACAGTGAGTCCCTAGATGTTACTTCCTTGAGCTCTCAAGGTGTCTCCAAGAACATATCCAAGTCCTCTTCCACGGATCGTCAGCCCACAAGGGAGCTTTCACTCCCTTTCTTGCCCCAAACTCCGTGTAAGTCAGTCCCTTCGTCTTCCCCAGCCTCTCCAAATGCCAAGACTCCCCATGAGCATGAAAGAGTACAGATCAGTGTCCCGTTTCTGACTCTGGCTGAGTGTGAGGCATTGGAATGCCACCTCCTAGAGAGGCAGGTCAAGCTTCAGTGGGGCCTGCCAGCTGTCTTCCTGAGAAAACAGTACACCTGGAGCCACACGCTGTGTGAACCACACAGTAAAGCTAAAACTATAAAAACTTACTGGCCAAGGAAGCCCTTCTCATATCCCACCAGGGAATTCTCCTTCCCAGAGCATGTGCGCAGGCTGCTGGAATTCCACCTCCAGAAGCAGCTGATTCACCTTCGCTGGGGCCTGCCCCGGAGGATCCAGCGCTCCATTCACTCGCTGCTCTCCTCTACCGACCAACAGTCCCGGTCCCGCAGCAGCAGGGCGCTACCCAATGTGAGCATCCCACCGCCAGGCCACCCAGAGGCTGATGGGTCTGGTGACATGTTTGCACTTGCAGTGGACAAAGGGTCAATTTCCACGCCACGTTTGTTTTCCCAGACAAAGGCAATGTTGAAGAACCATATTGATTCCAAATGTGGACAGATTCAGCAGGGCAAGGTCCCGGCCCAAGTCTGGAGCTCTTGGGAACGCAAAATTCCTGGAACCCTGGCAGCAGTGCCTCCCTTCTCTTCGATTCCACAAGGCCAACACCTGGAACTACAAGCAGAAAGTAAAAGCAACCCTGACCTACATCACAAAGTTGTTCCTCTGGAACCAGGGGCCTTCGACCAGGAGAAGCAGGCTTCATCAGGTACTCTCGTTGAACACTGTAAGCGGCCCCACGCTCTGTCTAAGGAAATGATTAAGAAGCTGGAGACAACTTTACAGCATAAGTATCTGGCCTTCCTGTCAGGCCTGCCTGCCCTTTACTGTGTGGCTCTCTCGAGGCCCATATCTCCAACAGTCACTAGCCAACCTAGAATGACAGAGATGATGTCCAGGCCTGTCAAAAGCTCACCAGATCCTCGGACTCAACTGACCTCACTTGAAAGTCCATTTGAGCCTTGTACTCGAGATGACAAAGAGGCATCTGCGGACACTACAGGAGAGGTCCAGCCTGACGTGCAGATGGAAGGAAGGACAGAGAAGGTGCCTCTAGACAGCCGGACTCATGACAGTGCCCGCTCGTTAAACTCACATATCTTGGCGAAACTGAATTTCCACCTGAAAAAAAAGGTCCTAGCAATGCAATTTGGAATTTCTGAAAAGGAAAGGGAGTACAAAGAGCTAGCTCTAGCCAGCCCAGAGAGTGAATCCATACAGGAGTTTCTCAGGAGTCTAGGTATCCCAGAAGGCACCGAGCTCCAGAAACTGCCAGGCTCAGGTGACTCTCCTCCAGCCCCAGATGCAAACAGGGTCCACCTTAAAAAACAGTCAGCCACTGCAGGGCAGCCTGTGTGCCACAAGCCAAGCCAACCTAGTTCCAGAACAGTGCCCCATGGTTCTGCCCAGTGGGGCTCCAAGGCCTCAAAACTCAGGAATAAGATGGAGTCCCAAGTGTACTGTATTCAGATGGAGACCAGTGGGGATGAGCCCAGCCTAGAGAAACCCTTTAGCACTGAGCCTCAAGGCAAGAGCAAGTCCTCAGCCCACGTCACCACGCTGACAGAAAAGAGTGAAGAGCCAGGGAAACCCAAGGCAGTGGGGGACCTTGGAGAGAGGGATGCAGATCTTGGGCTTTCCCCGACCAGGGAAAAAACACACCATGATGGAGATCAGGAGCCAGAAAAAGGGCCTCTGCACAGGACACCCCAAGGCTCCTCACAGCAGAGGCAGAGTTTTCATCTTGAGGATCCCTGTCTGCCCAGCCCCCAGGAGGCCCCTGACCTTGAGTTCCCAGAGCCACCTCCAAAAGTCTTCATGGAGAGAGAGCCTGAACATGATATGCAAGACAGTCAAGCCAAGGTAAATGTCAGCCCAAAGCCTGCAAAGGTTGCTAAAGTCCCCCAGCCTGTGGCCTCCCAGGCTTCCCGGGGCCTTCCTTTCCCTCACCCACCAACTCAGGGAAAGCCTTTTGGGGGCCAAACTTGGCAAGACCACATTTCACGGGGGCAGGTGATACCAACTTCTCCTCATGCTAGCCCCAGCCTTCCAGAGGCTGGCTTGAAAACTAAGATGAAATCCTTTTTTCACGCTATTAACCCCAAGATAAAAGGCAAAACACATGTGGAACCCATAGTCTCAACACCTGGAAAAGCGGCCAAAACCAGTAAAGAAAATGTTGACAAGGGTCTGCCTCAAGCCAAAAGCCCCACCAAGAAAACTAAGACGGAGAATGTCAGAGGGCCCAAGGCCCAGTCTGTGTCCTCTGAGAAGTCAGTGATCGCATCCTTCTTAACTGCTCCCCACATTTCAGACAGTAAGCTCCGGCCAGGCCCGCGACAGCTCTGCTCTGTCTCAGCACCAGGCCGACCCCGACATTGTCCTCGGCACTGTCCTCAATTGGCTTATGCCATTCAATACAGAAACCCACCCTAGGTCCCCAGGTCCCCTCGGAAATGTCGTTCTGCTAATGGAGACCACTGCGGGTGACGGCAGCCTCTAGGCCCCCCTCCTCTGTGTCCTTTAAAGAGCACTAGCATTGCCATTTTCTTTAGTGAACAGGTGGGGAGTGCACCCCCCAAAATATATTCTGTCTGTCTAGATGAGCTGTCGGTCTTCCTTGTCTCTGCTGTGCATTATTAAGGGAAGGGATGGAGGAAAGTGGAGTGTCTGCCCTCATCTCAGGAAGGAAATTTCAATTCACATTTCAGACAAGTCAGTTGTCCCCACCCTAGAACAAAGTCAAAGACTTGATCAGAAGGGAAGTGTCTGGTGTAACACACATTAAAGATATGTATATTTATATATATATATGTATATATATACCAAACTCTTTGCCTGCCTCATATCTCCAGCCAAAGATAAGGAGGTAAAGGAAAAATTCTGAGATGTTCTTGATTTAATTAAAAAGACCAAAGGCAGGGCTGGAGAGATGGCTCAGAGGTTAAGAGCACTGACTGCTCTTCCAAAGGTCCTGAGTTCAATTCCCAGCAACCACATGGTGGCTCACAACCATCTGTAATCGGATCTGGCGCCCTCTTCTGTATACACAATAAATAAATATATCTTTTAAAAAAAAAAAAAAAAAAAAAAAAAAGACCAAAGGCTGGAATGAAAAAGAAATAGGGAAATCAACTGGTTAGCAACTGCAGAGAAGCAACACAAAAGAATTTTCAGGTTTATGAACCTTTACTTAAATCCCATCACCACCAGTGTTACTGAGCCCTATTTATGCAAGAACAGTCCAAATGGTTAGCTCCAATCAACCCAGAAGAAACTAGTTGCCCAGTATAGTAGCACATGCCTTTAATCCCAGCACTTGGAAGGCAGAGACGGAAGGCGGATCTCTGTGAGTTTGAGGCCAGCCTGGTCTACACAGTGAGACCTGTCTCAAACAACACATTCACAGAGACGATCCTCCTTTCCCAAAACATTGTCTTTGTCCACGGTCTTCCCCTCTCATCTACAGACATCACAGGGCACAATTCTTTCCTCAAAGTTTATAAAAATGTCCTTAGCTCTGACAATGACTATGTCCCAACTGTCACCTACCCTAGCTGCCACTGAAAGCTATGAAAACTTGTCCCAGTAATCATGTCCTTCTAGCTAGTATCTAACGGCTCCATGAAATCTTCTGTTTCAGATATTCAGATTTCTAGTTTTGGATGAAATGATGCATTCATGATAGTTGCATCCATAGTCTAAATACAGCACCACGTTAGTGTCATTGATGCGTTAGAGTTCGGGGTTCTGACACAGGAGGAAGTACTCAGATGAAGAAGAGGTCTCCAGAAGTGTGACTTTGAGAAAGATCTTGTACTCAACAAATGTGTTAGCTCTGGGCCAGGTGCTTGCCTCTGTGTCGGGGGTCACACTAAACACAACAGTACGACACAGGCTGTGTCACAAGAGTCCCAGAACCCATGCAGTCGTCTTTTTACATATCCGAATTGCCTACTCAGCATCTCCACCTGGAATCCCATTGTTCACCCCCCCAACTCTGCGGGAATGAACTCACAAATCCAGGCCCCATCACTCCTCTAACGACTGCTCCTGTCAGTGTTTCTCATAGAAGTTTGATGGCAGCCCCATCTTTCCAGTAGTTCGGCCATAAACAATGGTGCCATCCTTGACTGTTTTCACCTAAGAGTCCACATCCGGCTCACCAGTCGATCCTGTGGTCTCTAACCATCGAAAATGCAGACTCGGGTCTATTGCCCTGTCGTCTGCTGCCATCATCAACACAGGAGTGTGCACAGAGATGATCATAGTACGATCAGGAGCATAAACCCAGAAAAGCTACTAACATAGTTTTAGTTTGGAGGCCATCAGCTTGGTATGTCCCTAAACTTAGCATTTTAGGAGGCTTGGGGCCATAAATACATTCTACATAAAAAGAATCTACTAACCATAAATACATTCTAAATAAAAGGAATCTAGTAACCAGTTGCATTGCAGATCAACAGGTCTCCAATAAACTAAGTTTTTACCTTTAACATGGAATTTAAAATCCCTGGCACAGCAGAATCTATAATTAGGTGATTTTTGTCTCTGATGGGTCTACATAGATCAGTTTTAAATACTGATCAGATTAGGAAAGAATAGTAATGATCATAGTAGATTTATTTGGTACACAGGTTCATCTCATACACACTGTGGCAAACAAGATGGTTAAAGGAAGCAGATAAGGACCGAGTTTCAGGGCTGGAGAGATGGCTCAGTGGTTAGGAGCACTGACTATAATTCCAGAGGACCCAGGTTCAAGTCCCAGCACCCATGTGGTGGCTAACCACCATCTGTAACTCCAGTTCTGGGGGATCTGATGCCCTTTTCTGACCTCCAGGAGCACCAGACATGCACATGGTGCACAGCCATACACACAGACAAAACATGCATACACATAAAATAATAGCTCTCAAAAAAAATTAAAAAGAAATCTCTTCTAATCCTCTAAGAAAAAAAGGGGGGGGGACGGCCAGATTTTAACCAGATAAAGCAAGATTTCGCAAATAATGTGTCTTTTTTCTGAATGGTACCAAAACAAACAGCAGTAATGCCAGGAGTTTTGATGATGGTTTTGTGTTTAAGCTCTAGACACCATGCACAGCACACATGAGACAGCACTCACTGATTTCCTTGCACGGTCCAACCTTATAACAGACTTTCATATGACATTTGGATGAAGCTCAGAACATCGCCTGTTAACCCTGCAGATGTATGTATATAACTAGATACTAGATAAGGGACATCAAATATAGTATAATAACCTAAAATAATAGGTGTTTATTTAACCGGAGCTGGAAAGTGATCATTTGAAACAAACATTCTTTTGAGACTTAATAAATAAAACAAGCATCATCTTTAGTGGCTCAGCAACTGAGATGGAGACACATTAATTTTAAAGACATCTTTATTTTTTTATCTTACCAGTAAGTTTTAATTAACATAATGTCAAAGATTTACCTAAATCATGTGAACCAAAAGGCATTTAAGGCTGATTTTTTTTAACTTAAAAAAAGTTTTTATGTGTATTTGTGTTTGCCTGCATATATGTATATGTACCATATGAGTGCCTGGTTCCCACAGAGGCTATAAGAGGATCCCCTGGAACTGGAGTCATAGACAGTTGTAAGCTGGGTGCTGGGGACTGAACCCAGGTCCTCTGGAAGAACAGCCAGTGCTCTAACCACTGAGCCGTCTCTCCAGCCCCCATTTAGGGCTTATTTAATTGTCTTAACTTACATGAACACTCACCAATCTATAACACAATCAGTACAACACAAATATACAAATACAGGCGCATATGTAGACATAACATACAAACACGCGTGTATACAGTCATTCATAAAATAGCTGACAAAAAGCCACAGGCTGGATCGCTTTCACTTAGATGCATCATTTTGTCCATGTTTCTTTCTATTTTTCTTCTTCCCTTCTCTCTCTCTCTCTCTCTCTCTCTCTCTCTCTCTCTCTCTCTCTCTCTCTTTCTCTCTCTCTCTGAGACAAGGGTTCACTGTGCAGCTCTGACTGTCTGTCCTGGAACTCACTGTGTAGATTAGGTTGGCCTCAAAATCAGAGTCTCCTGACTCTGTCTCCCAAGTGCTGGGATTAAAAGCATTAAACCACCACACCCAGCGGTTAAATCGGCACCTCTAAATGTATTAAGACTTAGTAGAAATCTACTCAGAGATAACTGAGCTTAATCTAAACATCATTAAGAAAGCCTTGGATAAAAACTCAGTGGAAAACAAAGGTCAGGGAAGTGTTGTATGACTTTGAATGGGAACTGTTCCCTGCTCTAAGAGCTAATAAGCTGGCAACGCCCTCTCAAATGGAAATATCCTTTACTGTGAATTTTTAAATGGCTACATACTTTAGAGACTTGTCCTGATAAATGTAAATGCTTGATGTAACTCATTTTCTTTTTTAAAATTTATTATTTTTATTTTATGAGCTCTGATTGGCATTTGGCCTGCGTGTATGTCTGTGTGAGGGTGTCATAGCCCCCTGTAACTGGAGTTACAGACAAGTGTGAGCTGCCATGTGGTGCTGGGAGTTGAACCCAGGTCCTCTGGAAGAGCAACCAATGTTCTTAACCCCTTGAGCCATCTCTCCAGCCCCATAACTCATTTTCTATCAGATTCATCCCTTCAAGGAGGAGGCCAAGAGACCTTCCATGCTTATCCTACTCAAGAATGCTTCCTTGAGTGTCCTGCAGCCTTCCTACCTGTTCTATCAGGTCAGAGCCAGGAGGAAATCCTACGGAATATGACAGCCTAGAAGGTCAGGTGTGGCAAATCGAAGTGACTTTCTCCAAAAAAGCATTTCTCCAGCCCAAGTATCAGCTGTGGGCCTGTACCTCACAGAGGCCCATGCATCAACACTCTTCTGTCCCCTTATTTCAGAGTGGGGCTAATGCGCCCTGGAATCCACGAACTGGTCCTCCTCAGTGCAAGAGGAAAAACAGGAAAGAAAACTCTCAGGTGAAAGAAAACACTAAGCTTAAGACAGGCTGTGTGGATAAACATGCTAACAGGATGTATAGACAGGCTGTGTGGATAAACATGCTAACAGGATGTATAGACAGGCTGTGTGGATAAACATGCTAACAGGATGTATAGACAGGCTGTGTGGATAAACATGCTAACAGGATGTATAGACAGGCTGTGTGGATAAACATGCTAACAGGATGTATAGGTTACCAACTCCTGGTTCTGGTGCCAGAAACAATCCAGGAGGGGCCTCATCTGATGCCAGAAAGATTCCAGAAAGGTCCTAGAGGAACACCAGTTCTCCACCAGAAGCCTCAGGTTTACAACTTAGGTTTCCTGCAACCTGCCTGGGGTGACCTCACAACAAAGGTATCTCTCAGCCTCCTGAAAGCAAGTCCCTACCATCGGGCAGACCCAACAGTCCACATTCTTCTCAGTGAATAC